TTCTGGACAAGGATTTGTGTGGTTTCAGGAGAATGATGGAAAGCTAAAGGAGAGGATTTGCCAAAACACCTTGTCAAAAAAAACAGTTCACTGCCAGGCAAGACGAACTCTTACACCTTAAGGAATAAGCACTTAAGAACTGAGCTGATAAGCACAATTCCGTGAGGCTCCAGGATTTATTTACATGAATAAATTCTTGCAGAAGAAAGGAAAATTGTTGCCAAGAAGGAAAGAGAGGGCACAGTAACATTTTACAAAAAAAAAAAAAAAAGGGACTTGATCAAATAACACTGAGAAATCAAACAATTTAAAGCTTTTGATGTTACAATATACCTGTTTTAATTAAAAAAAAAATAAGGTTGGTCTAGATATTGTGGCAAATCTTGCCACAAAGACGAACCATGGAAGACGTGGAGATGGATGGGCAGGTCAGAATTAAATATAATATATAATATAATACATTATATTAATTAATACATTATAATACATTAAACCTCGTTAAAACTGCAATATCCAAAAATGAATCACCTGATCAGCCTCAGATGAAAAGCAGCTTCCGTGCAATAAGAAGCCACTAAAGGAGGCAGAGGAGGAAACAGAAGTTTTTTTCCTAGAATCTAGAATGTGAGTGAGCAATCTGAAAGTTGAAACTACGGTATATGATGGATTGCATTGCATTTATGGCATTAATTATGAAAGGTCTCGAGCAAATTATGTCTAGAGATGTCTTATCTAAATACAGAGATTGGTGTAAAAGTTGTCGTGAAAAAGCTATTTCCCCGCTATATTTTGTAACAACATTGTTAACTTGCATGTGAGTTTCACAAGAAGGTAATGGTTCAGACCTACGGTCTACAAATTCCCTGAAAGCAGTCTCCCACAGATGGCCAAAACAGCAGCAGGAAAAACTGCCTGCTTTCCACAGGAGACTCAAAGGCATTCCCAGAGCAGGACATGGCAGCACTGTTTCTCCAGCCTCCCTCTCTCTAGGCTGGCATAGTGGGCGGCACTTTTCAACCCTGCCTAAAGAAGAGTAAATGAATTTACCTTCATGAATGGTAAACCCAGCCTACAACTCCCTCTTCCTTTATCTGAGCTCCAAGTGTTGCTGACACGCGCCGATTTGGAAGGGGCAAGGGGACAAAAGTTTTTAATTTGTTACTCCGGGCTTCAATGGGGAAGTTAAGGATTTTCCAGACAAAAGACTTAAGGCTCAGCTAACCCCCGCTGAATGCCCTCTTTCTGTTCGTTTGCCTTTTGTGCTGGAACTGCTAACAGTGCTAAAAGAAAGAGCCCGATGACTGCCCCTTCACTCCTGTTACACAAATCTGTGCTGGGAAAGGCAGGCAGGATCAGCTGAGCTCCGGGCAAAGCTGCAGAGCAAAACAACATCTTTCCTCTGCAGAGCTCTGTTTGCCACCACTCCCAGCCCGGCTTTGGGAGGTGAAAAACCTTTCCAAAAGCATTCGTGGATTATATGCTTTGTTTGCAACCCACACTGCCTGGAAAACATAAAACCAGCTTGATACATAAGAGCCAGAACTAACCAGACTGTGAGCACAGAGAACAGATCTCAGTCAGTTTGAGTGTGAGATTTGGGGCTGCACCCTCAGCAAGTTTGCAGGAAACAATCGAGTTGGGTGGGAGTGTTGCTGTGCTGGGGGGCAGGAAGGGTCTGCACAGGGATCTGCACAGGCTGGGTCTGAGGGCTGAGCTCCAACAAGGCCCAGTGCAGGGTACTGCCCTTGGGTCACACCAACCCCTGCAGCTCCAGGCTGGGCCAGAGGGGCTGGAAAGCTGGGAAAGGCCCTGGGGGTGCTGGGGACAGCGGCTGGACATGAGCCTCGGTGTGCCCAGCGGGGCAAGAAGGCCAAGGGCCCCTGGGCTGTGCCAGACACAGGGTGGGCACAGGCCCAGGGCAGGGATTGTCCCTGTGCTGGCACCGCTGAGGGACCCCCAGGGCTGTGCCCAGTTCTGGGCCCTCAACAGGAGGGACCCGGAGGGGCTAGAGCGTGTGCAGGGAAGGGAACGGAGCTGGGGAAGGGGCTGGAGCAGCAGGAGGGGCTGAAGGAGCTGGGGGGGCTCAGCCTGGAGAAAAGGAGGCTCAGGGGGGACCTTCTGGCTCTGCAACTCCCTGACAGGAGGGGGGAGCCGGGGGGGGTCGGGCTCTGCTCCCAGGGAACAGGGACAGGAGGTGAGGGAATGGCCTCCAGCTGTGCCAGGGGAGGGGCAGGTTGGACATCAGGAGGAATTTTTTGGGGGAAAGGGTGGTCAGGCCTTGGCAGGGGCTGCCCAGGGAGGTTTGGAGTGCCCAGCCCTGGAGGTGCCCCAGGAAGGACTGGCCCTGCCACTCGGTGCTCCGGGCTGGGGGACAAGGTGGGCATCGGGCACAGGGAGGATTCCATGGGCTGGGAGGGCTTTTCCAGCCTAAATGATTCTGGGATTTTGTGACAACTGGTATGGACTGCCCTTGATGTACATCATAGCCATGATGTACTTTTGGCATGGCTGCAGACTTTGGGGAGGACAGAACAAGCCCCTGTCTTCAATTTAGCACCAAAGGGACCAGGAGTTCATTGCTGATATTTGCTTCTCCTCTTGTGTGAGGGTATTAGCAAGCACAGTAATTTCTTTGGCTTCCTAATGCCTCACCATCTCTCAAATCTAGAGGAGATGAAAGGTAAGCTTCACAAAACAAGGTAGTGAAGAGCACACAGAAAAGAGAAGTGAGCCAGCAGTGAGTTGTTACCTCCCATGGAAAAAATAAAGTGGCAAAGTTAACTAGTCCAGATAAGAAGGAAATTTTGAATGGCATTTAAATTGCCTCTAGACTTCTTGAAACAAATACCTATAAAACAGGCTCTTACATCCATTGTGTGGTGGTGTCCGAACCATCCCATATTGGCAGATAAAAGTTAAAGTGACCTTGGTTTTCCTAAGGGTAATGTGGGTGATCAACGCTTTTTTTAAAAAGAAAATAAAAACTCTGAGCAGCAATAAAAAATGCAGAAGGAATTGAAAAGCAGCATCACAAGGATAATTTTCTGCCTTAGGATTAGGACAAATGTTACCAGACAACATTTTATTTACTGAATCTATTAAAAAGGTGCCTTGGTCATGAAGAAAATCTGTCTTAGATGACTGCTGTAATTTTAGAAAGCTGCTGACCAGCCGTGACTGTACATCTGCTGAATAACTTGGCAAACTGCCCCCGTTTCCAGTTCTTCACCCTGAATGATTTAACAAGATGTGGCTTTGAATGCAGTGTGATACAGCTGGGTTTGTTTCATGCCAACTCCTGACACCGAGTTTTTTCCAAAGCTCTTTCAGAGCTCTTTTCCTGCGGGGGATGGATGGATGGATGGATGGCCCTGGCCACGGAAGTCACGCTATCGGCATTGTCACTGCGACAGCCCTGTTGTCTTGGGCAAGGAGCTCGGGCATAAAAGCAGGCTTGAACCTCTGGCTGGAAGCAGAGGAGGAGAACAGGGCACAGGACCAAAAGCCTCCTGTCTCACCGAGCTCACTATCTCCCATCAGCGGCAGGCAAACCACCTCCTCCCTCTCACCCAGGAAGTTTATCGTCTTGCCAAGCTTATCTTGAGGCCAGCTGGGTCATTCACAGTCTGGCAGAAGCATACAACAAAGAATGCCACTGGACCAAATTAATTGCTCTGGTCAGTTCGTGGCATCCCAGAATCATTTAGGTTGGAAAAGATCTCCCTGTGCCCGATGCCCACCTTGTCCCCCAGCCCAGAGCACTGAGTGCCACGGCCAGGCCTGCCTTGGGCACCTCCAGGGCTGGGGACTCCAAACCTCCCTGGGCAGCCCTTGCCAAGGCCTGACCACCCTTTCCAGCAAGAAATTCCTCCTGATGCACTGAACAGGTTCAAATCCTCGAGTTTCTTTCTGCCTCTTATGTGGTGAAAATACAACCCAGAAATTTTCCTTTTCCATACACAGAGCACACATTCACACTGTGTAGCTTCTGTCCTCCTCTTACTTACCTGGAAAAAGAAACTGTCATGATTTGTTTTTACTCTTGGAAAACCCAGTTTGGCTGGATTTTGAGGCTTTCCGAATTCACCTCCGCATTTTTGGCACTCCAAGCCGTTCCACAGCCCGACTGTTCTGCTCTGTGGGGTCACACTGCTCGAGAACTGGAAGGGCCTGACGTGCTCCAGAAAGGCAACCACATAATTCTGGGGTGGCCAGGCCGACAGAGTCGCCCACACAGGGTGAAGCCACACTGCAGGACCAGAAACTCTGCTTGCAAAGAGGCCAAACCACTTGGGATCCCCAAAGGCTTCCGTGTTTTCTGGGAGAACGAGGCATGTGACACACGGCCCCCTCAGGACACGGCTGTGACAGCAATCAGGGGTGGCTCTGCCCTCAGCAAAGGCCGTTTCAGAAGGAGCAGCAGGGTCCTGGCAGCGTCCCCAGATCAAGGCAGTTTTGCACCCAGGGTACAAAAGCAAAGCCTCAAAGCGAGCCCCACTCTGCTGACACGGCCTTGCACCGGAGAGCTGAGATGTGATGCCAGCTGACAGAGGATCAACAGCCTGAGTTTCTGGATGCCACCATCTCGCCCACCAGCAGCTCAGCTGCGCTTGCTGAGCACAAACACGGGCTGCTGCGTGTGAGGCAGAGAAGTTCACGGGGAAAAGGGTCACCCTCCTTGTGGGAGAAATAAAAGCAGCTCAGTTATTGATGCTATGAAGCGCACAAGGAACTCCCAAAACTGCTGCGCTGGTGCATCACCTCCAAGTGTGAAGACGTGACCCAAGAGCAGGCTGAGTTGCTCCAAGCCTGCACCCTCCACCTCCTCCGAGTCTCCACCACACCCCTCCATCTTTCTGCCCCTCTTTGTGCCAGATCAGTCTGCCATCAGCTCGCCTCTGCCCTGCCCCACCCCTCCTGCCCAGGCCCAGAGCCAGAGCAGTGACACCCTCACGGAGATCACTCCTGGGCTGCTGGCAGAGAGAGCAGCCCTGGGGAGAAGGCCCTGGGGGTGCTGGTGGGGAGAGGCTGGACCTGCCCCAGCCCAGAAACCCCCCGTGCCCTGGGATGATCCCACAGCGTGGACAGCAGGGCAGGGGGGGATTCTGCCCCTCTGCCCCTCAGGGGACACTCCCCCCTGCAGATCTGGGGAACGGCACAGCAAGGACATGGAGCTGCTGGAGAGAGTCCAGAGGAGGCACCAAGAGGATCAGAGGATGGAGCAGCTCTGCTGGGAGAAAAGGCTGGGAGAGTTGGGATTGTTCAGCCTGGAGAGAAGCTTTGGGGTGACCCAATTGCAGACATAATTACCTTCCAGGACCTGAAGGGAGCCTGCAAGAAAGGTGGAGAGAGACTATTTCCAAGGGCCTGGAGTGACAGGACAAGGGGGAATGGCTTCCCCCAACAGAGGGCAGGGTTAGATGGGATATTGGGAAGAAATTCTCCCCTGTGAGGGTGGGGAGGCCCTGGCACAGGTTGCCCAGAGAAGCTGTGGCACCCCTGGGTCCCTGGAAGTGTTCAAGGCCAGGTTGGATGGGGCTTGGAGCAACCTGGGCTAGTGGAAGGTGTCCCTGCCCGTGGCAGGGTGTGGGACTGGATGAGTTTTAAGGTCCCTCCCAACCTAGGCCATTCTATGATTCTATAATTATTTCTTCTTCTAAGGGAATGGGGTTGCATGGGAAAGAAAGCAGAACACAGAATTAGAGGGCGACACCTTTTCCTCCCTGGACCATGCAATTGATATCACTGGGTTTAAAAGAATTACACAGAGAGATGAAACCTAGAACCATTCCTGACTTTTACGGCTGCAGGCAGGGAGTTCTGTATGATGGGAATTACCCCAAGGCTCAGACTGGCCACAGGAGCAGCTTCTTCACTCCTGAAAAGACCAGGTAATAGCAGACACTCAGCTGGGGATGCACTGAAATATGTTTTTTCTGCCCTTTGACTGCTGAAGAAATATATTACCATTAATTGCAATTACAGGCCAGCAAAGCACTGAGGAGCAGGAAGGATTGATAAGAAAAAAAGGTGCTTTCATAAGAGGTTGGTGCATTAACTTGCTCGGTCATTTGGAATGTAGCTTGGTTGGGAAATTGAGGCATCCCTCTGGAAAAGCCAGAGATGAAGCAGAAATAAAGGATTTGTTCAGGGCAGGGCTAATTTGACTGCACTGTAAAAGAACAAAAAAATGCTACCGAATGGAAACGTGAGTCATGAAATAACCCCCCTCAACAACACCACACTTGAAAATGGAAAGAAACAAAGAAGAGAAAGGAGAACAGGAGAGAGAACAATCTGATAATGCTGCATTTGTAAACAGGAGTGTTTGTAAATGCTTTTGGCTTCTGATTTAAACACAAAGAAGGCACAACAAGATCAAAAAAGAACATGACAGTACTTGTGGAGGATGAAAATGGCAACGTGGCTGTTGTGTAAATGCTTTGTCTGTAGTTTTGGGATGCGAACTGGAGCTGCCGTGACTCCTCCTGGAGTGATATTTTATTAATGAGATTATCCATGTCTTAACAGATACACAGAAAAAAATCCCGTGAAACCCTTCAAAATACAGAACTGAACAATTTAATGTTCAAACCACCTTAAGACAGTATTTTCTGAAAACTGCACTGTTGGTAGTTCCACCCTGGTTTTGTTATAAAAGACAATGTGCTAGAAATTATTGTGGTAGATGTGCATAATATAAACTATGGAATTACGTTGGAGTTTTGGCATGTTATCCCCTCTGGACCTGTGTTCAACCTGAAATCCAAATTCCTTCTCTCTGTGCTGGTCTTGAAACGCTTACTTACCAATTTAGTCCGGCCTTGTAAAATTCTAAAGCCCGCTGGAACAATTTTTGGGGAACCATTTAAATCTAAAAGAGCCACACTAAACAAATGATAAAACCAGGTTGGTTTGTCTCACCGATCCTGAATTATCACTGTTTTATAGTAGTGTCCTCTCTTTTAAAACAACAGCCAGTTTTCAGCCTCCCCTTCATGCAGAAACTGGTGTTTAATCTGAGCTCCATGACCAGTGAAATGCATGTGCAGCCATTAAGAGTTTGTTTACCTGCTCAAGGTGCTGGCAATTAAAATGAGGTGCCCTGGGGTTTCCACCTCTGCACTGGGGAGGAGGTTGTCCCCTGAATCACCATGGAATTGCTCCCTCTTCCTTCACGCCCTTCAGCGTGGCTCACACGCAGGGGTCTTGGAGACACAGGCAGTGACAGAAGCCCCAGCAGAGCAGCTGAGTGCGTCACCTGTCGAGCGAGATCGATTTGAGGTCAGCTGGTGGCATTCAGAGGTCACAAAACCAACCCTGTATCATCTTCATGGAACAAACAGCACAAAATCCCCACTCTCCACAATTTTTGCTCCATGCCCTGAAAGCTGCTGTTCTGCTCGGTAAGATGCAACCTTTCACAAAAGCCAAAGCCTCCAAGAAGATCATTTAGTTTGCAGCCCCTACTTCTCCTTTCCCAAAGCCAAGCAACCCTGCACGGTATCACTGGGAGACAGCTAAGTCTGCTTAGCCTTGAGAGCCCATAACTTTGCCCAGAAGCTTTTAAACACTTATTTATTCCCATATTTTCAACCATGAAAATTTACTTATTCAGTGAAAGCTGTCAACTGTATAAAGCAACAGCCTGACTGTATAGGCAGGGAGTAAAATCTGACTGTATGAAAACATAGTTCTCCCCAGGACATCCTGAGGGCCAAAAAGCTAAGCCTTCCTCATGAGACTGGAGATGTTTTTGTTAACAACAAGCCTTGCTTTTTGCTACAGGTGACTCTGTTTCCTTAGCTACAAACTGTTACCTATTTAGCAGTGAGGGTTTAGGTGAAAACGGGTGTAATCAGCACCGGGGATGTTTTGCTTCTGCTTTTGCCCAAATCGTTTCATAACCCGATGTGTCACCAGTGTGCTCAGGCTTTTCCACGGGGATGACTCTTTTTTTTTTTTATCCTTTGCTTTTCTAAGCCTTTCTGAGCTTTTCTGGATAGATTATGACAATGCCTTCATTCCATGCTGCCAGCTATGCCAGCGGGATGGGATTGAGCATCCGAAGGGAGGCTGTGATCCTGTGATTATTACCAATACTGGTGGCTCTCTGGATACTTCTTCTGGCTGGAAGCATCCCTAGTTGCAAACTTGGCGCTCCGCCTCGTTTTTCCACTGCTCCGTATTTCCACCTGTTCCTGCTGGGAATACAAAAACCTTGTTAAAAGGAGTTGGACTCCTCTGAGGAGGCTCAGGGGTGTGTCTTATTACCCTCTGCAACTCCCTGACACGAGGGTGGAGTTCCTTGTTCCCCTGCTCCCTGGGAGCAGAGCCCAAGGGACAGGACAGGAGGAAACAGCCTCCAGCTGTGCCAGGGGAGGCTCAGGTTGGACATCAGGAGGAATTTGTTGCTGGAAAGGGTGGTCAGGCCTCGGCAGGGGCTGCTCAGGGAGGTGGTGGAGTCCCCGCCCCTGGAGGTGTCCAAGGAAGGACTGGATGTGGCACTCAGTGCTCTGGGCTGGGTGATAAGGTGGGGGATCAGGCACAGGTTGGTGCCTGAGACCACTCGATGGTCTGGGAGGTTTTCTCCAACCTAAATGATTCTGTGATTCAGTGATCCATGTGGATCCCTTCAAACTTAGGATATTCAACAATTCTACAGAAAAAGCCACATGTCCCACACTGCCAACCCCTGCAGCAGTGACCCCCAGTCCCCTCACAGCATCACATCTTGAGTGCAATCCACCTGCTTTTTGGCAAAAAAAGGGGCCAAAACCACCTTTGAAATGCCCTTCTGGAGTTATCTTACCCATGTTGGAGGACAAAGCAGGCTCTGAGGGGAGCTGCGGCCTCAAGCAGCATTCCTGGTTTGGGATGAATTTTTGTCATGGAAAAGCACAAAGAAAGAGAGTGTGCTGACATTTTAAAAAGCTATCTAAGCCGAGGCTTCTCCGATGCTGGAGATAGGCACATCATATCTGAAGTTTTCACTCAGCTCTGAGAAACAGAGACAGCTATAAAGTTTACTTCCAAATCCCCACTTGCCCGATTTCCAGCATGGCCTAAGTCAGGATTTTGACTGAGGCTTATGTCTTAATATTTAGCTAAATTAGACTAATTAGTTGAATAAAATGTGGTAGGGATTCCTTAACAAGTTTCTGCCACTGCTTTACATCTACAGAGAGATTTTCTAAAACAGGACACCAGGGACAACAGCACATCCTTTGCCAGCCAAAAAAGTTGGATTTTTTTCTAACACTAAACCTTCGAGTTGGTCATATATTGCAAACTGCAGTGAAGATGCAGGAGCAGTGTTAAATTTTTGACATCTAGCACATCTGGGACATAGGAGCCCATCCGAGGGCTCACGTTCATGAGGTTTGCTCTGAGTTTTATGCGCAGAGAAAGAAAACATACCTTTTCTCTGCCTCTCGTTCCTTACTGCAGCCGATGTTCTGCCTGGCGTTACTGGCGCCTTGCACAGGGAAAATAAACCTTTCCTCTCATGCCTGATACTTCGGGCAAACCTTTACGGGTTTATGGAGCTCCGTGCAGTTCGTGAGGCTCCACAGAGGCAAAGGAGGTACAAAAACAGGCCTGACAGCCCACGGCTCCCCTCAGGGTTCCCCGCCGCTCCCTGGCCGGGTGCGGGTGCCCTGGGCTGAGGCGGGTGAGGCTGTGAGGGGGCAGCTCCGGACGAGACCCCGGGCTGAGGGGCGGCTCCTGAGGCGGTTGAAGCCGTGAGGGACGGGGTTGGCTCGGCTCAGCTCCGCCTCGGTACGAAACCCCGAAGAGGCAACTCCTTCACCTGGCTACGAGTGTTCCGGGCTGGGGCGGTCCCGGGGGAGGGTTGCAGCCGTGAGGGGCGGCTCCGCTCCTCCCGGGTATAACAGCCCCGGGCTGGGGCGGCGCCCTCGCCGGGTGAAGCCGTGAGGGGGAGGCGCCGCCGCTCCGCCTCTTCCTGCGGCAGCCGCGCAGTTGCCGCCATGGCGCCGTGCGGGGCGGTCTGCTCTCTCCTCCTCCTGCCGCTCCTCGTCCTGCCGCCGGCGAGCGCGGGCTTGAGCGGCTACTTCGGCACCAAGTCCCGCTACGAGGAGGTGAACCCGCACCTGGTGCGCGACCCGCTGTCGTTGGGTCCCGGCGCGGGCGAGTCGCCGCCCGCCACCTGCGCCCCGCTGCAGCTCCGCGCCGTGCTCCGCCACGGCACCCGCTACCCCACGGCCGGGCAGGTCCGCCGGCTGGGCGAGCTGCACGCCCGGCTGCTCCGCCGGCCCGCGGAGCCCACAGCCTGCCCCGCCGCCGCCGCCCTGGCCGCCTGGCCCATGTGGTACGAGGAGAGCCTGGACGGGCGGCTGGCGCCGCAGGGCCGGCGGGACATGGAGCAGCTGGCCCGCCGCCTGGCCGCCCGCTTCCCCGCGCTGTTCGCCGCCCGCCGCCGCCTGGCGCTGGCCAGCAGCTCCAAGCACCGCTGCCTGCAGAGCGGGGCCGCCTTTCGCCGCGGGCTCGGGCCCGACCTCAGTCTCGGCGGCGACGGTGAGTCCGGCACACCCGACCCCCCCCCCCCTTCCCTGCGGGAGCCCCGCGCACTCCCTGGGGGAGTCCCGTGTCATCCTAGGAGGGTAAGGGAACCCCACGCCCTCCCTGAGGGATTCGCAGCTCTCCCGAAGGGGTTGAGGGGCTCCTGTGCCCTCCCTGAAGGAGCCCTCGCTGAGGGGCTGAGGGAGATCCCTGCTCTGACCGAGGGATTCCCGTGTCCTCCCCGTGGGGCTGGGTAAGTCCCCGGGAGGCCTTCCCTGAGGGATTCCCGTCTCTCCCCGAGGGGATGCGGGTGTCCTATGCTCTCCCTGAGGACTCGAAGAGGGGCTGGCGGAGTCCTGTGCCCACCCTGAGGGAGCTGCATGGCCCCCCCCGCTCCGAGAAACTCCCAAACCCTCCCTGCGGGATTCCTGGTTCTGCCAAAGGGGCTGGAGGAGCCCCACGCCCTCCCCGCTGGCCCGTGGCTGAGGGAAGCCCTGAGACCAGTCCCACACTCAGGCTGAGGGGGACCCTGCACTCTGCATCCCCTCCATGGGGACACCGCAGCGGTGGCCGGACCGTCCCCAGGAGGGTGTCGGGGTGGCCGGGCTTTGCTCCCCATGGGGCTGGCGGTGCTTCTCCTGATGCTCACGTTTCCTTTCAGAGGTGGAGGTCCAAGTGAACGATTCCTTAATGCGGTTTTTTGATCACTGCGCCAAGTTTGTAGCCCTGGTGGAGGAGAACGACGCGGCCATGTGCCAGGTGAGCGCCTTCAAAGAAGGGCCCGAGATGAAGAAGGTCTTGGAGAAGGTGGCGAGTGCCTTGTGTTTGCCAGTGGAGGAGTTAAATGCAGGTAAGGAGTTGCTCTTACAGGTGGCTTTGGCTCCAAGTGTGGCTGAGAACAACTTCCAAGACTTGTAGTTATGCAGAGTAGGTAATTTAGAGTGTGCTGTAGGTTGGAGATGCAGTCTCTAATTAAATGCATCAGGCTGTAAATGTATGTTGGTGTTACAGTAATGGATGATTGTTAGCTACTGGTCAGAAGAAGATGATGTTTGAAAATGTATCTCCCTTAGACTAAAGCAACTTTACCTTTGTTTGGAGGGATTTGAGTGTTATTATTTTAACTCCACTTTCTGGAGTGGGCAGGTTGAGGGTAAGTTGCTACTTGTGTAGCAGTGCTTTATCTTTTGCTTGTTTGTTGGATTTGCTGCAGATCTTGTTCAAGTGGCTTTTCTCACCTGCTCTTACGAGTTGGCTATAAAAAATGTGACCTCCCCATGGTGTTCACTCTTCACTGAAGAAGATGCCAAGGTATGTGGGGCTCAGAGCGACCTGGAGTAGTGGAAGGTGTCCCTGCCCATGGCAGGGTGTCAGAATTAGATGACCTTTAAGGTCCTTTCCAACTCAAACCATTCTGTAGCGTGCTAAAAGGGAGAGATGCTTGAGAAGCCTTCAGAAGATGCCATAATGTCCAGATTTAACTCTTTGCACAGTCAGAAGGTGTGTTTTGTGAAGTTAAGAGGCACAAAACTTAGTCTGTTCTCCAAAGAGCTCCGAATTAATCAAGCAGCAAGACTGAAATATCCTTTATTCAGACTTGAGCGCTGGTGCTGTCTTGATTTGCCCTGACGTAAATTATCTTTTCCAGTTGTGCTTAATTCATATAATACTTATTTCTGTAACATCTGGACAGCTTTCATATGATAAAATCATATGATAAGATTTATTTCAGAGGACACAAAACGAGGTCCTCTGGGGTCTCTAAGACTCTTTTTATATGGTTTTGAGGACTATCAGATACCTAAGGCATGTTAATAAAACCCAGATAAATGAGACAAATGTTTGTTCTTCCTCTTTGAAAAAGTGTCTGATGTTCTCTTTGATGTTCTGGAAGGCTTCCCTGAGGCTGTCAAGGAAATTTCCACCCTTAGGAAAGAGGGGAGACTTGTGTATGAGTAGGTGGCTGGCTAAAGGGTGGGCAGTGGAGTGAGGAGGATCAGGATCCCCATGGGCTTCTGCTGAGACCCAGTCAGTTAAATGCGTTTATAAATAACTCAGCAGCGAGGTGGGAAGCAACTCTGATGGCAGGAACAGAGAACAAGGAGAGCAGCACGTGCTCTTGCATAAATCCAAGGCACAGTTCTGTCTGTTTGAGGTTGATTTTGTGTCAGATTTGTCCATCTCTTTCAGGGTGTGGCAACATCATTGCTCCAGACTGGGGGGGCTCGTTTTTCCTTCGAGCTCACAGGTTTTTATTGTTGCACTCCCTTTAGGTCCTGGAATACCTGAATGACTTGAAGCAGTACTGGAAGAGAGGATATGGCTATGACATCAACAGTCGCTCCAGCTGCATTTTATTCCAAGATATCTTCCAGCATTTGGACAAAGCGGTGGAAGAGAGCAAAAGGTAAATCAAAAGGCTTCAGTGCTTTGGGGTTGAGTTTTCAAATTGCTTGTGGTCAGTCCTGAGCTGGATTTTTCACGTGAATAGGAGCTCAGTACTTTACTTCCAAACAGGACAATATTAGGAAAGTTGGAGCCAGGTGAATTCTTAATTTGGGAGCAGCACTGGAGCTGTTGGGAAGATTATTGGGCTTTACAGGTAACTGTTAGGAGACTTGAAGGTGCAATACCCAGGTGCCCTCAAAGGGTGGTGCCCTAATAAAGTAATTTTTCTTGGATTATTCCCAGGACTTGACAAGTCACTCCGTGTCAGCGGAAGAACAGTAGCAGTGGCACGCCAGGCGCTGTGTTGTGCAGTCCTCAAAACTGCCTTTGTAGTGTCATGGATGTGCTATTTTTGGGTGGTGTTTATTCCCCTGAGCCTGCAGCAGCTGGGGTTTGGGAGCTGCTTGGTGTTGCTCTTGCCTTGTGTGGATTGGTTTGATGGGGAGAAGTAAAACAGGGATAAAACTGGGATCAGTTTTGATTCAGTTGCAGGTCGGGATGTTTGTGGCACAGAATCACCTGCGTTTGCTGTCACGTGCTGATGACTTTTTCTTTTTTGAGAGAGCTGCTTTAAATGGTAATTTACAATCTGTGTGCACGTTCCTCTTGCAAACTGAACAATTGCAAATTCATAGTTCAGTGATCAGTCACAGGAATTAATACCTTGGCAGATTAGTATGGAAATGTTTTTAAAATGTACATGATATCAAGGATATGACCATTAGATTGTATAAATGCTGCGCCATTAAATACTTGCTATAGATCGATTTACAAGTAACTTGAACTTGCAACCAGCAAATTCAGCTTTGGTGTTGATAGGTAAGCCCTGGACCCCTCTAGAGCCAAGCTGGGTTGAGGAATTGTGCTGTGGTGCGTGGGAGTGGTGAAACCTTTCTGGTAGTGGTGGAGTTAAAGCAGTGGTTGTGCTACACCACTGTTTATTTAAACTTCTTAGTCCTTTCTTCAGCCTCCTGGAAGAGCTGAGGGGAAAATCCATCAGGGCAGGGGGCCATTAACACCCTGCTGGGAACAGAGGGCTGCTGTGCCCGTGGGGATGGTCGGGAAGGAGTGCAGGTTAACAGATAAACAGAGAAGGGAAGGCCCTTAGAACTGCTCTGTCCTTCTGAAATCGGAAGAAAACCCCACAAAACCAACCCTGAATCGCAGACCTGTGCTACGTTAGGAGCTGGGAAAAGAGCGGGTGTTTGAGGTATCCAAGGGAACGCTGCAACTTCATTCCGCCTTCCAGCCTTGGCCGTGGAAGTTCACTTGCGATCCTCGGGGCTCTCGTCGTGTTCTGCCACCCCAGAGGGGCGCGGGCAGTGAGCGTGAAGGGTGGGGACCGTAAATCCCGTGGCATTCCGAGCCGGGTGAGCGGGATGAGCCTCATCCCGAGCGGTAAGGGAAGCTCGCCTGGCGCTGAAGGAGCCGCGCGTTGCTCCGCTCCGCAGACGGAAGGTGGCGGTCGTAGAGCACCGGAGACGCGGGAATAGCCTGGCTCGGGTATCCCTGCAGAGGATGTGGGGAATCTGCCGCGGTGTTGGAGCGGCTCGTGTCTCTCGGGATCTACGGAGCGGAGGTGCGGCCAGTCCTTTCCCGTCTGGGAGGGAGGCTTAGCGCAGATGCCGTGGCCGTGTGAGAGTACAGATGAAAACAAAACATGCAACGCCAGTGTTAATAACAGAAAATATCTGGGCATGAGTGCCTCTTCTTTCTCTTCGTGGTGGTGTTCAGCTTCAGGGCAGCGGGTTAAATATTTTTTGCAGCGATTCCTCGCTCGGAAAATGAACTTTTGTGGCGAGGAAATGTCTTTTAGTGGGATGTTGTTCCCATTTAACGGTGTTTAACATTGATTTGTGTCTGGCTGTTTGCTCTAAAAACTTAAGAACAGGAAATTTACTTCCAATTGGCCCCGAGATCTCTTTTCTTTCTGGAAAGTTTAGGTTGGCCTATCCAGAAAGCAGAAAGAGAAGCATTTGTGATCCCACAAGAAGCTGAGGGACCTGGATTATCTGTTCAGCTCCAGGCTTGGCAGCAGAAAACAGTGTTGGCAGTGCTGTGTTTTTGTGGAATACTTTATGTATTTCTGTTGAATAGCTTTGTCCTGTTTTCATTCCCAGTTACAAGGAAATTAAAAAGAGCAACCTGGCTTTTATTGTAACCCTTTTTCTTCCATGAAGTGATTCTTGACCTGCTCACCTTCTTACCAGTCTGTAAGGAAGTGTCATGAGCCTGTTTCTTGGGAGAGGTTGGGGAGCAGGACTCTCTTCCCTACAAATCTTCTTACATTGAATTAATTTTTTTGTACTTATCACAAGATTTGCACGTAAAATAAAGCCAGGTGATTTGCTGTGCTGAAATGGCATTCCTGGGCAGTTATCTCAGTCCATAAAGCACGTTTATTTTTTTGAAGGCAGAAAGAATTGTGGTTTTTTTCAGATCTTCCTTCTAGGGATAGAAAATAGTCAGGCTATGCAGCTATGTGGTAAAGAAGCTGACCGGGAATTCTTCTTCACTGTTGGTTTTCCCAGCAGTTTAGTGAAGAGTATTCTGCCAACAGTGTGTGTTGATGAGAAATCTGTGTGTTTTGGTAGTCAATGTAATATGAAGCTGGTAATCTGTTATTTTTTTGTTTTTTTTTTTAAAACCTTTGCAGCCACACTCTTGGGCAAGGGTGGATTTGCAGATTGGTTGTGGCACACTTGAAGCACATCAGCTATTCACTGTAACTGTTTTAAATTTTTTCTTTTTCCCCTTATAGCTTCAAATATTTAACAATTCTGCCTTTCTCACTCGTGAAAGAGCATTAAATCCCGGTGATTATGGATTGCCATAAGGCTCTGGAAACTGGGAGGCATGCTTTGGGGGCAGCCTTCTCAGTATTTATAGTGTGGATGGAAAACCCCAACCAGGCTACACACAGACATTGCAAAATATTCAGGGGTTTCCTCTGAGTGGCAGCAGGTTCAAGCTATTTAAAAAGAAAAAAAGGCTCATTTGAATGTAGTTCAAGATGAAGTGAAGATGGATGATCTTTGTGAGTTATACCAGGATAAGCTGTAAGGTAAACAGACTAATTTGGCAATTTACTGGTAGCTTTTATAGTCCCCCTGTAATTTGCCATCCTCTTTGCAGGTCACTTCCTGAGACAATTGGTTTGAAGCCTTATTAGCTGAGTGATTAACTCTTTCAGGACTAGATAAGAGCTGTTGCCTTTTAATTGGGGGTTTTAAATGAGTTTTGTGTAGTCCCTTCAGCCTTTGTCACGAGTGAGCTCACGTGTGGCCTTGTTGGAAAAGAAGAAACGTTTTGCCTTGTCAGTGTTTGTGGTGGCTCTGAGCAACGCCACTTTTTTTAAATATTTCTGCTGCCCTCTGAGTCCCACCACTGCATTCCCTGATCTCTGCTGCTTCCTTGTAGGTTTAAGGTTCCTCCAGCTGTTTTTCCCAGAAGTAAATCCCAGGGAGGGGGGGAAGGATGAATTTATCCTATGGCTGAAAACAGGTTTTGGAGTCTTTAGTCCTGGCTCTCTTATTAGAGAGAAAAAGGACAGAACGTGATCTAAGCTTGCTTGTTAAACAGGTGTTCAAACTTACATTCTTTGAAGTCCTTGGAGGGATTTTTGCATGAGGTTTGTAGGTTTTGCTGTAGAAAATGTCTTCTTATCCCACTGTTTCATGGGCTTTGTGTTATCTCTAACTGAAAGTCACATCAGGAAATACAGTTTGGTTAAAAGAAATATCACTTTGGATACGGAGCAAGTGAACTGCCAGTGGTCCTGGGAAGGGTAGGGATGATCTGCTGCTGAGGATGGGTGAGCTGATGCGGAAGATTCCAACTTGAACCTGAATCCGCTGGGATTGAGGAGAACTAGAACTTGCCTGGATGATAAATCCCACTCTCTGCTTCTCCACCAAGCCTTATTTTTTTTTTTTTTTTTTTTCCCCCATGGTGAGACTTGGCTTTTGGGGTCACGCTGATGAATTGTTCAGCTCTGGTGAGATTGACTTAAAAGGTAAAAATAACCTCTGAAAACCCCCCAGTGTGGGTGGTTCAGTAGCCGGAGCTGCCACATGTCTGCAGTGAACCCTGAGCTCTGCCCTCCACAGCTGCTGCTGCTGATCTTGCAAGTGCCCCGTGAAGTGGGGACGAAATCAACCCGCAGCAATCACCTTTACACAAGCTCTTAATGTTTTATGGCAGAGCTTTGTGCAACTCCATTCAAAGGTGGAGGTTTATTCAGTGGGCTTTTCCCCACTGAGCTCTCAGAAGTGAATCGAAGCACCGGTGGCAGCTGCCGGAGGCGTCGAGAACTTTGAAGCTTCCAACGCGACGCTGAGTCATGAGTTGATTGGGAAGCAGATGGAGTGTGGAAACATCAGGCCTCCCCTTTAATGTTTTATTGCCATGTGCTACTGTTAGGAGTTTTATCAGTGGTTTGTGGCTTGTCCTGCCTTTATCAGAAACGTAGGGGCAGTGGTAACCTTTGCCTGGCTGCATTCTCTGAAGAGGCCGTCTGTCACTGTCCTCATAATTAAAAATATTGCTGCTTTAACCTCGATGGCCACTTTTATTGTCATCATTAGATGATAGGAAACCACATCTGAACTGGAGTCCTGACCCCAGAGACCGAACAGGGAGTGCTTGAGCCGTCTGGGAAATGAAATACCAAGCACGCTGTGTTAGAGCTGTTGAAGACTCAGGATTGTGTCGGATCAGGAAACAGTTCTAATCCTCATTAAAATCATCCAGTGGGACACCTGTGACTGGGAAAAGTTTATTTTGCCTCCCAGGACAGTTTGTCCTCTCAGCATGAGCATTTCATGACGCTAAAGCCAGTGAAGTAAAAACTCAAGTTACAGTGAGAATGAGTGCCCTGTTTAGTCCTTCTTTTGTCTTCAGGAGCTTTTCTCTCTTTATTCTTATAAACTTCTCTGTGTGTATATGTTATAATTTGTTTCCTGCTTTGGAAACATATGTCTTGCTGGTTTTTTAACTCAGATATTCACCATCTTTTTTGGTGATTTGCTTCCATTCCAGCGTTCCTGCTAGCTGGAAAACAGAGCCAAACCTTGCTTAAAGCCAGCACTGATAGCCAGAATGTTCTTTTTTTTTTTTTTTTTTTTTTTTTTTTTTTTTTTTTTTTTTTTGTCTTAGCATTTCTTGAAACATTTTTTGGAGGGGTGGGATATGAAATGCACTCCCTGTGGAATGAATAATGTCTGTGTAATGCTGGATTTGGAGCCTTCAGCAGCATATTTACATTACTGGGTTCCTTTGCTTAGTAAACTATAAATCTAAAAAGACCACCACGCAGCTGGGAGGATGTGAAAATGTGCCAAGTTGCTAGAGCTGGGTGATATTGCCCCAAGAGTGCTAAAAACTTGAAGGAAATAGCTGAAATAAGAGCCAAGAGGCTTCTGGGGCCTGGCAGATGTGATGGTTTAAATACAAATAATTAAATAAAGGGAAAACTCAGAAAGCAGCTCCAGGAGGGAGTCAGAATGACAGGCCATTCTTGTAGAAATAAAGCCCAGAACTACTTTTGGTGAGCATGAGTAGTGTCAGTGAAAGGAAAACGTGGCTCTTGGAGCTCTCAGGAAGGATCAGTGAGTATAAAATCTGGGAGCCACAGTCATGATTTCCAGACATCTTTCAACAGGTTTCCTTATCTCAAGAAATCCCGTGGGTGGGGTTAAAGGGGAGAGGTCCTTACGTGGGTAGAAATGAATAAAATTACAAGAAATGGAGGGTAGGGACAGCTGATGGATTTCTTTTACCAGCAGGGATGGATGTGGAGGGATTTGCATGTCGTACATGACTCAGGAAAAAGGAGGTGAGGAGTTCAGTGGCACTGCAGATATGGCAGTTCTAATCAAGATAAACAGGATGAGTTGTTTCTGCTGGGAAGATCGTAAAGGACCTGGTGAGACCAACTGGGCTGGGAAACTGCAGAGCTGTCCAGTAATCCCCACAGGAAAAATGATCTTATCACCTGTCAGGTAGAATCTGGGCGAAGTTACTGCTCAGGAGTCGAGTTTTGAGGTCACTGTAGCTGGAAAGAATATTATTGCAAGGCTGTAAGTAGAAAGGATTAAATGGGCCACGGCCTCTACAAAGAGAACAAATTGAGAGCAGTGTGTGTGGAGCTGTGCAGTTCCTTGCCATGGGATGGTGAGAAACGTGTGTGGCTTTAAGGGGAGATTTGGCAAAGGAAAGATTTATTAGATGGATGAACCTGGAGACCTCTGAGCTGGAAATTGCAGGAGATGAAAGGAGCAGCCTCTTGTCTCCTTCTGTGTTTTGCTGGTTTTTGTGTTTGGTTGACTGACAGAAGGGATGTGAACGTGTCCTAAAACCTAAAAATACTTCCCTGCAGGTGTATGTGGAGGGGCAGGATATCCAGGAATTAGTCAAGTGAGCAGGAGCGGTGAACAAGGAACAGAGAGGGAAGGCAAGAGAAAGGCACTGAAGGATCCAAAAGCTTGACAGTTTTAAAATGAGTGAAGGGGGTCATAAAGAGCTGGGGGAGAGAACACAGGGAGAAACACTCATTTTGGAGAAGCAGGAAGAAGAGCTGTGGTGAACGTGCAGCTCCTGGTGCACCAAAGGAAAAACAGAAAGTCTTCCAGACAGAACTTCTCTGTGTTCTGGATGCTGCTGCTTTTGAGGGGGAAGCAGAGGCAGGGTTGGGATTTCTTTTGTAAGGGATGAGAGGAGGATGAGACTCTGGCCTGAGGGGAGAGTCTGTACAGGTGTGTACACACGTGTCTGAGGAGTGGAGGCAGAAGGACCCAGGTTCCCTGGGAGCAGCACAGTGCAGGGTGTGTCAGACTCTCCAACCATGGCTACGTGGAACTGGTGGGACCCATCCTGTGCCAGCACTGAATTCCTGCTTATCTGATCAAACTCCCAATCCACAGGCAAATCTCCAAGTTAACCGCCCTAGCGTGGAGTTGGAGTGGAGGAAACGCCTCCTTTTCAGGCCAATCGGGACGTGTCTCCCGAAAGCTGAACGTGTATTTCCACGTGCCGGATCAAGCCACGTGGGCTCCTTGTGCCACTTGGAAATGGTCCCCAAAAGCCATCATCTTTCTCTGGAACAAGGGTCAGATTTTCCTCTTGGCTGGTGCTTCCTGGCACAGCAAGCCAGCTCTTATCTTCCCTTGGGCTGAGCAGTTGTGTGAGCTTTTGTTGCACAAACTCTCCTCGGGGTTCAGGCTTTGTTCTTGGTAGGGATCAGTGGCTTAATTGGCTGTCCCGTGTGCTGGAATCCTCACAACTTGGGAACAGCAGTATTCCTGCTTATAATTTGAGCTCATAAATTAGGGAGGGACAGCTGTTTTCCTCTAATGGCTGGAGACTGCTGTCTTCAGTCTAAATTTGGGAAATGTTGGTGATGATCGGAAGAGGACTCCTACATCTGATGGAGGGCTTGACTCTCTATGTTAACAAAGCGTTGCTTTGTGATCTGCTGCCCTTATCTATTTCCTGATGGGAGGAGTCAGTGCTATCTAAAAATCTTAGGTCTATTCCAGACCTGTTCTTGGCTGTTGCTTGGTCAGTGGATCATCCCATAGCTGGGAGGAGCGCAAGTGAGTGGGTTCACACCAGGAGTCAAAGAGATGTGCTGAGTATATGGCAGCAAACCATTAATCTATTTCTTGCTTTTGTTAATCATATGAGGCTGCAGCTGTAGCCTAACTACATTTATTACAACTTAGAATCATGGAATCATTCAGACTGGAAAAGGCCTTTGACACCACAGAGTCCACTCTATTCTTGATCCCCACCTTGTCCCCCAGCCCAGAGCACTGAGTGCCACATCCAGGCCTTCCTGGGACACCTCCAGGGGTGGGGGCTCCACCACCTCCCTGGGCAGCCCCTGCCAAGGCCTGACCACCCTTTCCAGCAAGAAATTCCTCCTCATGTCCAACCTGAGCCTCCCCTGGCACAGCTGGAGGCTGTTCCCTCTCCTCCTGTCCCTGGGAGCAGAGCCTGACCCCCTCAGCTCCCCCCTCCTGGCAGGGAGTGCACTGAGGGTGCACTCTTTACAGTTTCTGTAAGGATCGATGCCTTAAAGTGGGACAAAATTTAGGAAGCTGCCTTTCAAACTCTGTCACTCAGTGATATTCCCAAGCAGGTATTTCTCTGTACCAAAGCAAGCTGAAGGTGTCCCTGAGCCTCGGCTGCCGTGCGTGGCGTCGGTGTGTTTGTCTCAAAGCTCGGGCTCTCGCTCATCCCTCCCGCTCTTTTCTTTTGTAGTTCAAAACCCATTTCTTCACCTCTGATTGTCCAAGTTGGGCATGCAGAGACACTGCAGCCCCTGCTTGCCCTGATGGGTTTCTTCAAAGACGAGGAGCCTCTCCTGGCCAGCAATTTCGCCAGGCAAGTGCACCGCAAGTTCCGCAGCGGCCGGATCGTGCCTTACGCGGCCAACCTGGTGTTCGTGCTCTACCACTGCGACCACGTGAACGCCTCCAGGGAGGAGTACCAGGTGCAGATGCTGCTGAATGAGAGACCCTTGTCCTTCCATCACTCCAACGAGACCATCTCCACGTACGCTGACCTGAAGGACTACTACAGGGACCTGCTGGAGAACTGCCACTTCAAGGAGGAGTGTGAGCTGCCCAAAGTGAACGTCACTGCTGTGGACGAGCTGTGAGGCCGCTCCGCGTGTCGATCTCGGTTTGGTTCGACAGGCCTTGTAAATGAGCACTTTGGATGATTTGCTGCTGCTGTGTTGACTTCCTAGACTTGCAGATTTGGTGGGTTGTCCCAGCTCAGTGTGCTGGTTCTCTGTTGCCTAAGCAGAACTACAAAAACAAACGCTGTAACAGGGAAGTTGCCGAGCATTTGTAACAAATCTGTGATGCAAGACGGGTCCCCGTGTGTTGATGTGTAGAAATAAGCTAAGTTCATTGGTCAGTCCCTCTGTGAATGTGCCACAGATGGATTTAAGAGCTGGGGCAGCTTCTCTTTTATCAGAGCTGCAGGTGGTTGGACTGATTCAGTATTGCTTTGCACTGCCTTTGTTGCTTGCTGCTGTGTCTTCCTGTGCCAGGCATGAAATACTTCAAACCTGTGAGCTTTCTTTATTCTTTCTCCTGAGCTTGTAGAAGGGAAAGAGTGCACAGTCTTTCTTCACAGCTGCACAACTTCTGCCTGGACAGCACCATCTCTTTTTTGGGCATTTTAAAGCAGGAGGATTTGCAATGTTCCTGCATGCATTACCTGCCTGAAAAGGGGTGAGGAGGCAGAAATCTTAAAGTCCTCACTGACCCATCCCCCGTACCAACTTAGCCTCTGGGGTAAGTAAATCATCTTTAAAAAGGAGTAAAAAATAAACAGAAAGGAGTGAGGGAATGGGAAGTAGCCACTCTTTAAGTTGCTCTGGGAGGTGCAGCAGTTGCTCTCTAAAATTATCTGGGGGTGTCCTTTCCCTGTCACCCTCCATTTCTGGTGTTGAAGGTTTGGGCAGGGACATTTAGGGTGAGCTCTGCTCTGACTCTGAACAGCTTGGTCCTGTCTAGGTGCTGGCAGTTTTCCCAGCAGCTCTGGTTGGAAGGGATCTCTGGATGTCTCCAGCCTCCTGCTGGAAAAAAAGTCCTCCTGGGATTGTTGCTAGCCCTAAATCTAGGTGGATTTTGGACTGTGTAAAGATCTGCTGACTTCTGATTGACTTCTGCTGCCTTTAAGCCACCACCTTTGGTTCCACTTACATAGGCCTTCCATGTTTGATGTGCCACCTTGGTTTTGAAGTGCAGCTGGTTTTAAAGAGATGAATTGCACAGAAGGACTGGTGATCTTTCAAAGCAGCTGCCCTTAAAGTAGGTTCACTTAGGACTGAAAGCTGGCAAGTATTTCAGAGCTCTGCAGCGTGGCAGAGGGAGGGCAAACCAAAGAGATGTGTCCGAAAGGCAGGGAGTCAGATAAAATTCCTTCATCACCTGGAAGGGGACGGCTGTGTGAGCAAGTTGCCCTGAAGCAAATGAAGGTTTGGATTTATGGTGCTGGTAAATCCTGAAGTGTGTTCACTCAGCCCACAGCTGAGTGTTCCAGAGCTCAGCCCCTAAAGTGAGGTGTGTTCTGCTGTGTTGCCTGGGGAGGAGGTGAAAGGTTGGAATAAGTGATTACCACAGCATATCAGGAGCACTGTAGGTTTATACCCTTCATTCGCTGAGGACTGAGTTCCTCTTGTAGGCTCACCTGCGGAACTGGGAACTCAACTGCTGCAGAAACGAAATCAGAGAAGAGAAACCCCAACCGCCTCGAAGCTGAGGAGTTAAACTTCGCGTGTGATTTATTTTTTTAATCTTTCTTGAGGACTTACTTAGGCTTCTGTCACTTCTTTTTAATATGGCTTGGGGAAAAGCCCTTTAGATTGACATACCTGTGAGTTAAGGAGCCATTGAACACCTGGTTTTTATTGTTGTTCTTGGAGTTAAGGGTTTTCCTCCCCCTGTTTTGTTGGTTCACCAGTAGAGGTTACTGAATATACTGGCTAAATCTGGTGGGTATTCCAGCATGAACATCCCAGTGAAACACTTGGCCTGTGTTGGCTCTTGCAGCTCCCTCTGAAAGTGGTGGAAGGGCTGGGGAGGAGTTCAGTGCTGCAGCCAGCGTAGGGATGTAGGTCAGGATGATTGTCAGGCCCCGCATCTCGCTTTACTGCACTATAAGCTCTGCATGTCTCCTTTTTCACATGATCCCACCTTGAGACCAAATCATCTGATGGTAATTGCTGTGACTGATGCCAGTTAGGGACTCGGTTGCAACGCTGGTAGCGAGCTTACAAAGAAATGAACCTTTGTTTCAAGGCAGTTGAGTTTGGAAACAGCAGATACCCGGAGTGAGAAAATCCACCTCTGAACAAATATTTTTTTTCTGTGAGTCAGTCACCCCGTGATGATTCATGGACAGAAGGGATGAAAGCCTGACTATGGGAGATGAATGGAGGATTCTGTTGTCAGTTCAGCAAGACTGATTTTAAGGCATCACGTTTGTTAAAAGGCACATCCTTCTTCCTTGTGGGGGGAGGAGCGCGTTGCACCTGATGGCTTTTCTGACCGTGTGCCAGGTGAGGTGGAGGGACCAAAAAAAATCCCTTCTGCAGCGGGGTATCGTGTGCTTCTGCACAGGATGGTTCCTCAGGGGTTATTCCCTGTTTTACCTTGGAGTGCAGATCCATCACACCTCCAGCCAAGCAGATCTGGCTTCAGCCGTGTCAGCAGTTAACTGGAAAGGGGAATGTGCTGCTCTGGGTTTAGAGGATGCTCTGACTCACCCCTTCGGCACAATTAGAGGCTCGGTGTGGAAACTTTGCACCATTGGAAGTGTTGGGAAATGTAAACACTCTGGGCACTTAAATTGACTCTTACCACCGGGCAGGTGACTTCTTCGCTCTGACCCTTTCATCTGCTCGACACAGACACTTGTTCAGATAGTGAAATGGATTAAAATATTCCTATCCAGTGTGAGCAGGGCTTGAAGAGGCTGCCACATCTCCTGGCACTGCACATTCCCACATCCTGCAAGGAAAAGAGTGCTTTCTCCCCCTCCACCTTGCCTCTGGGTGCCTCATCTCAGTCTTCTGTCAAGGACTCTTTGCAACCTTTCTCAAACTGGAAGCTTTCACCGATGGAAAATACTGACATTGTTCTTGGCCACTGGCCTTAAATATGTGTGAAATGTGGTTTAATTTGTTAAATGTCTGGTCTTTCTGTCGAGCTGGCCAATGCCAATTTGTGATAATAGTAATAATAATAATAATAATAATAATAATAGCACTAACTGGATGAATTTTGAGAACTTACTGTGGATTTGTAGTGAAATAAAACTGCACCTTCTTTCATCTCTGATGATCTTCAGTATCATGGCTGTGTTCTGCTTCAAAATACATTTGGTGAGTTGATACTGCTTGTGTTGGTGTCTCTGATTATTTTAAGTCTTCAATGGTTAATAGAAAATGCCTTAATTGGCTTTTTACTCTCTCACGTTTTGAGGGAAGTGTAAAGATTTGCTCTTGTTTCCAGGAGCCCTGGTTTAAAAAAACAGCAGTGGTTTCCTGACAAGGTTTTTGCAGATGCAGAAAGGATGTGGTGACTGAACAGCATCTTTGATCCTGCATTTTCTGTGAAGATGTATTAGTCTGCAAGCTGGAAATAGAAAATAATCGAGACTGTCTTGTATGAAACAAAGAAAACCCCCCAAACTCTCTAGGAAAAGGAGTGAAATGCCTCAAAAACTGAGACCCCAAAACCATATAGAGCCTTCAGAGGGGAGGAACAACAAAGCCCTGAGAGCCAGGGGAAGCTCAGAACATCCAGACTCTTAGGATGGCTCTTTGCTCCCACCTTTCCTCCTCCTCTGGATCTGCTGTCTTGAGGCCACCCTTGGCTTGGTGTGTCGTGGCTTCCTTGGGTTTAGAAGCCCTGCCCGTGCCTGGTGTTGCTCTGACTGATGGGGGTGTGGGTGTGTTTTGCCACCTTCAAATTCATCTTCAGCAAGAAGACTCAGCCAACTCCTTTGTGTCCAGTTCAGCTGCTGTGAGTGCTGTTTGTCTGCCTGATTGCCCAGGATTTGGGGGCCAGTAAGTAGAAAGCTGTTTCTAAATTGCTCTGTTTCTGATGTTGATAATGTTTGTGAGGAAGGTTTTTTATTTAATTCTTTTGGCTGTGGAATAATTACATGCCAGGCCAGAGCTGGGTTCTGCTTCCAGATCTGATACAGAGATGTGTTTGTGACTTTATTCCTCTCCCTTGTTTGCCTTCCACAAGTGGCAAATGAAGATTATATGGAGACAGTTACGTTTATAGCTAATTTTTTTTCCACCCGACTTACTTCAATGCCTTTAAAGAGTTATCTTTGTGTAAAATCAAGATAGGGGAGGTTCAGGCTGACACCATATGGAGTTTATGGTGATGGATTCAATCATTTATTTATTTTAACAATCCCTTTGAGAAAGGGTTTAAAGGGAGCATTGTTTTTCTGACATTCTGGTGAAAGGTTTGAGCACACCTCTTACTGTGTTCAGTTAACAGAAACAAATCCCTGCTCTTCAGGGAAGGGATTATTGTTGAAGGACTAGCCATGGAAGAAGCTGAATTCCTTATTTATTCGGGGGTCAGAGGAGCTCTGGCAGAACTTTTCCACACCAATAGCCTGTAGCTCTCAAATGGCTCCCTGGATGTGATAACACTGGGTATGATAACAGCTGTTACAGAAGTGGAAGGTGCCCAGCTGATCCCAGGAAGAGGAACCAGGTTGGATCAGGTTGCAGGTCCTTTAGCCTGCTGACCTCTGGCTTTTGGTAGGATGTGGTGCCTGAGCAGATGGAGCAAATATTTCCCATACACCGCTGACTGTGGCCATGGGGTTTCCTTGAGTTAAGGACAGTGCATTTGTGTTCAGCTTTATGTATTTCTCATAAGGAATTCCTCTGCTGCACAGCTCTCCTGGGGCTCTCCCAACTCAAAGCTGGGATCCTGCCCCTCTCAGGTGAGACCCCCCTGCAGAGCTGCCCCCAGCCCTGGGGAAGAGCCCGGCAAGGACATGGAGCTGCTGGAGAGAGTTCAGAGGAGGCACCGAGAGGATCAGAGGATGGAGCAGCATTGCTGGGAGGAAAGGCTGGGAGAGCTGGGATTGTTCAACCTGGAGAGGAGAAGCTTTGGGGTGACCTGATTGTGGCCTTTCAGAGCCTGAAGGAGCTGACAGGAAAGATGGGAAGAGAATATTTCTAAGGGCCTGAAGGGACAGGACAAGGGGGAATGTCTTCCCACTGCCAGAGGGCAGGGTTAGATGGGATATTAGGATGAAATCCTTCCCTGTGAGGGTGGGCAGGCCCTGGCCCAGCTTGCCTAGAGAAGCTGTGGCTGCCCCTGGATCCCTGGAAGTGTCCAAAGCCAGGTTGGACGGGGCTTGGAGCCACCTGGGCTGGTGGAAGGTGTCCCTGCCCATGGCAGGGGGTGGCACTGGATGATCTCTGAGCTCCCTCCCGACCCAAACCCACCTGTGATTCTGTGATTTGCTTTGCAGTGGGATGTGGATGCTGGAGCTCAGCTGTGGCTTTGGGCAAGTGCAGCAGCTCCTTCCATTTGAGCCTCCTGCTGGGCTGGAATTTCAGCCACGTTTTCAGGAGCTGTGATTTTTCAGAACAGCAATAGCTTGCAGCATAGTCAATTAGCAGAGTTGATTACCACATGCAAATGGGAAAGCTGAAGCTTGGCAGGTGTTCTGGAGCAGTTCTTGTGATACGGATCTTGTTTCAGTGTTGTGTTTTCCTCAACACCAGCAATCCATCTGATTCCTTGGAACACTTCTCTTGAGAGGGGAGTTAAACACTCCATCTCTTTGCATCCCACCTGTGCTACTTGGGACTTGTGGGTGTTGTTGTTTTTGGTTTTGGATTTTTTTTTTCCCCCAGCTGGGAGTGGCTCATCTTGCTTATTTGTTCCTTGTGCTGAAATCACTCTGTTATCATTGGCATCTTAATTTTTGGCTTGGTGTTACCCCGTGCCTATAAATACTTTTCCTGGGCCAGACTTGCACACACTGTTCAAGGTGAGGCTTCACTGTCAGCTTGAAAAGGGGGGAAATGACAATTCTTGTGGAAAATTTTCTAGGTTTTTGTTTCACACTTCCCCCACACCAAATAGCATCCCAAAAAAAAAAAACCCCTCTGTATGATGTATTCCTCCTCCTTGCTATTAGAGGCTATTTACTGCTCCCTGAGGATTTTGGTTATGTAAAAATACCTGTACAAATTGGAACAGCTTTTTATCCTCCTGTTTACAAACCTACGATACTGTATAACTATGGTATTTTGAAAGGAATAATTGGGTTTTTTAAAATAAACAGCCAAGGGCTGAACAGTAGAGGGAATAGTTCTGGCCAAAGCCCAGGGAGGTGGCTCTTAATCCTCTCTGATCAAACCTTTGCTTGATGAGCCCAGGGCACAGTTGGCTCTCTGGGCTGCCAGCACACATGGCCAGGTCAGGTCCAGCCTCTCACCCACCCAGCAATTTAAAACCCCAACCCCTGAAGCTCCAGTTCCTGGTGTACCTGCCAAAAGGCAGCTTTGAAAACCTTTGTGGTTTTGATGTTCAGCCTGTAACTTTATCCTTGGCCTCTGCCTTCCCACTTCTGTGTTTGGACACCCAGTCATTGACCTGCCTGATCCCCCTGGCGATGCCACTTGCCTCTGATTTCAGTCTTTGCTTGGCCAGATCTGATTAGCCAGTCCCTCTTCATCTCTCCTCTTCACCTGACTTATTTCTCCTGTGTGCTGGTGGCTCTTGTTTCACTTCAGTTCTTTTTGAACTGAAATGCCCACAATTGTACTTGGTTTTCCAGAGAAGGTCCTGCTGGCAGGGAGACTTCCCCACCTTCCCTCTTGGGAAGGTTAATCATTATGCAAGTGGGGGTTTTTTTTGTGTTCATTTGCTTGCCTGTTTTTTCTGTGGCAATGGGAAGGCTTTGTGCTCTGGCTCCCATCTTCTGGCACAGAACCTTTTCACCGGGTGTCACAGGTCATTTCTTGCACCTTGATCTACGTAGAACAAAGTTTTCTCATAATATAAAGAGCATTACTAATTATTCTCTGCATGTCTGCTGCCTTTATGATCCAGTCCCTGGGGCCTTGTACTTCCAGCCCTCTCAAGCATGAAGCACATGCAAAGTCCTGCTGTGACTTGGCTTTGCAGGAAAGCCTTTGGGACTCAGATCTTATTTCACAGAACCCAGAACTGAGAGGGCTGTTCCTCAGCCCTCACAGGCCTCGGTGTGGCAAAGAATGGCACATCTCTCCTCTCTAGGGAATTCAGGCTCTGCCCTGAACCCATCAGCCTGAATGTCTGGGTTTCCAGGGGTTGATTATCCCTAGGGATAATCAGAAGGTTCTTCCTTTGCCTTTCTTTTGCTGGGTTTGAGGTCAGATGAGATGGATTCTCCAGCGCTGCCCTGCAGATCTCCCCTGTCTCCATCTCCAGGCCTTCCATGCAGAATTGGTAGCAAATGTCATTCCCACTGTGCCATGGCCTGGCTGTCCTGTGCCCCTGGTGAGAGGTGATAAATCAAACAGGTTCTTGATAAGTTCAAGTTCTTTTCTTCTCTTCTGCCCCAGAAGGTTCTGCTGCTCCAAACCAGCTTTTGGCACAGGGGCTGGAGTTGGGTGCCAAAGCCAAATCTGGGGGTGTTGCTTGGAGCCTCAGAAGCTTCCAGCTGGATGAGGCAACACAAGGAGCATGAGCAGAGGCTCATGTGACCTGCTCCTTAAAGCTTGCAGCCTGCAGAGCAGAGACCTGGAGACAGTTCTCAGGGTGAATGAGGAATTGCTTCCATCCTGGGTGGCCACGGAGAGCTTTCAGGGTGTTTTTAACTGTCCTGGTTAATGGGCCACTTTGCCCAGAGAAGCTGTGGCTGGGCTTGGAGCAACATGGGCTAGTGGGAGGTGTCCCTTCCCATGGCGGGGGGTGGTATGAGATGATTTTTAAGGTCCCTTCCAACCCAAACCCTTCTGGGATTCTGTGAAAATCAGTGTTTGGATAAAGCACCCAACAGGTGTCACAACTAGTAAATGACAACCTGACTTTTAAAGCTTATCACCTCTAATTAAGAGTGGCTTTTCTGGGAGAGTGGTAAAAAAGGCTTCTCTGGATTATTCTAAGAATTGCAAATTAAAGTTTAACCTGGAAAAGTTTCCCCTTCACGTGGTTTCCTGCAGGAACAGTCAGTAAATCTGTGTGACAAATCCTGCTAGGAAATGGCTCAGAGGGAGAGGTGCTAAAATCCAGCAGTGTCTTGCAGATCCGAAATCTGTCCCTGCACAGGAGTGCAGACAGGTGGAAAACACAGGGGGGACTGTGGGGTTGTTCACTGTGCTGGCTGGAAAAGTGCCTGGTGCTGGAGAGCTCCTGTTCCACCTGCCTGGAGTATGGGGATGGAGGGAGTGACAGCTGGGAGCTTTGTGAAAGGATTAGGATGAAGTTAAACTTCCAAATGTGGTAGGAGATGGTTTTTTTTCTACCTGCCTGTGCTCTTTTCTAGCTCCAACACTGCCCATCCATGGATAGGCTGGATTTTTTCCTTGGCCTTTCCTTAGCCTCTATGAATTCTCCTTCCACTGTGACTGCTCTGGCAGCACTTTTGTCTAAAGAGATGCCAGAATGGCCATTTTATGCCTCTTTCTCTGTTAACCTGCTTTTGGAAGAAGACCTACGTGGCTTCTGAGTTCCCAGTCTGGAGCAGCCTGCAGGGAAGGGAGTCTGAAAATTTCAGGAACTGAGATCTTTACTCCAGTGTTATAAAAGGAACAGGGTAGGGATATGGGTCAAAGTCTGTGATAGGGGTAAGGAATCACACAGGGCAAAGGCAATGGGCCTGCAGTAGATAATTACACTCGATAAATAAATAAATATCTTTACTGCAATATGATACGCCACAAAAACGATAAGAATTTTTGCTTTGCTTCTAAAAGAAAGACATCTGTGAAGTCAATACTCCTTTCTTTGGAGAGTGTTGTCCAAGCCTTGGTAGGAGCATATTTTACATATTTGAGATGTTGAAGCTGTGGTGGGAGGTCTGTCTTTGCAAGCAGGAGCTGGGATTGCTCCGGCCTCGGCAGGGAAATCTCAAAGGCACTGAAGGTTTGTAAAGGCAGGCAAAGGAAAAAAATAAAAAAAAAAAAAAGAGAAATGAGGTGAGTGAGAGAAATAAAAGACCCCTGTTAGTTTACAGATCTGGGGGGGGGCACAAACATGAAGTTCCACCTGAATGTGAGGACAGGATAGGATCCTCCCGTGGGTGAGCAGTAGTGGCTGTGTCACTGGGGCGTTCAAACCCACCCTGACAATCCCACACGTGGCTGGTTCCCAGTGAGCTCTGCAGCACTGAGAGACCCACGGAGGTGCAGAGCTTGTTCCTGCCTTGGGCTCAGTTTCTCCCATTGTGAAATCATCTTGGCAAACTGGTTTTGAGCTGGGTTTCTGGCTGGCTGTGGCAGTCCCCAAGAGCAGTGGGAGTTGCCAGCGCTGGAGGTTTCAGTGGCTGATTTGTTGTCCCTTCTGGAGCTCATGTTTCTCTCCAGCAGCTTTCTCGTAAGATAGGGATGATCCCACATGTTTGAATTGTAGAACAAGGAAAGGAAAAAAAGTTTCCTGCTCTCATTAAAGTCCTAATTGCTTATGCCAGGAGGTAGTGCCGTACCAACCTGCGTCTCTCTGGGTGCTTCCATTAATCCGTGCTTTGTTCCTGTAGTTTATTTCTAATTTGTTATCTCACCAGTGAGGTTTTAGGGCTGCAGATCCAGACTTGACTTACACACAGCATTCAGAACTCTTTTTGTGAAAGGCCCTGGGTGAAAGGTGAGGTAGATAAGCTGGAACTGCTTGTTGGGGCAGTTCAGTATCGCTGTATCTCTGCGGGCCGATGCCAGAGCTGTTATGTGTGTTCATTGTGGAATATTTAGGTTCAGGTTTCAGAGGCACTGGCCTTACTGCATTTGGGATGGGATGAGCAGAATTTTACACTCCTGGTGACTGGAGGATGCTCCTTTTGCTGGGGTGACAGCCTCTTCATGTAGGGGAACAAACAAAGCCGGAGAATCTGACAGAAAGGGGTGCTGAAGATGGCAACGGTGTCTCCATCACTTGGAAAACTAAGCAAGGTGCTGAACCTTCATCTGCAGGTTCCCCAGTTCTAGGAAAGCAAATAAACCAGAGCAGAGACTCTTGTAGTGGAGTAGTTTGAGTGCAGGGTGCATTTCTCATCCTGTCTGTGTAGCCCTGGAACATGGGAAAGCTTGGCCATCCTCTCTGCTTCCTCCACCCTTTGCTCCTGCTTTGCCAAACTTACAACAGGGAGCGGTATGGAGGGAATGGTGTCACCTGTCACTTTACAACTGGGCTCTGGGCTCCTTCTCCAGAGGTTTGATGCTCATTTGGGTGGTGCTTTCCCAGCAAGGCGTCATCGAGGTGAGGCAATTCCTGCAAGGATTCAGGAGTGCCAAGTCAGGGACAATGACCTTCCCCTTTATGACTTCCCTGTGGGAGAACACTGCAGGGGACACCCCTCTCCTTCCACGGCAGCTGCCCAAAGGCTGCAGCACCTGGGGTTGATTTCTAGGGTTCTGCTGGGGCAGGAATTTTGGTTAAGGAGGTGATTTGGAACAGGAAGATGGCTGTAGCAAAGGCCTCCCGTGCAGCTGCTCGCTGGGCCTGTGGTGGTGTCACACGCAACCTTTGCTCTCTGGGGGTCCTCTTGGTGGAACAGGTTGTACCTTAAGAGAGCTTTTTGGCAAGGGATTTGTTGTCTCTCAGATCAGGACAGTACAGGCTTCCCAAGGAAGTGCTGAGTCCACAGGCACAAGGACAGGTACCCAGAGCATCACTTTCTATCCCCACAGTTAAAAAAATTCTCTAGAATCATAGAATGGTTTGGCAGGGAGCTAAGAGCTCACCCAGTTCCTCCCAGCTGTCTCAGCTGAAGTTCTTACAGCCCGTTCAAGAGCCCAAAAAATTCTTCCATGAAAACTGAGTGTCACTAATTTATGTCTCCTGAAGTAAGCAAATGGATTTTCTTCTCTTTTTTTTTTTTTTTTTGCTTAATTTCTGATTCTGTTTCATCAATTATTTCCTTGAAAAGCCCCCACAAATTAAAACTTGAGGCAATAGCCACATATATTTAATTATGAGAGGTTTATGTTACAGAAGTTCATACCTTTTTTTTTTTTGCATTATTCTTGGGAAAAATAGGGGAGAAAAGCCCCTTTAATCTTTTGTTCCCATTCTTAGGCAGGTTGTGAGCAGTCAATTTAATTCCTAGAAGGGAAAGAACTTTGAAGTTAGAAATGAAGAATGATGCAACAAATGGAGATAATGTTGACTCATTTTCTGTCTGATCGATATCTAAGGGGAACATGGAGGTGTTACATGGGTTTGATGCTAATTTTTCTGTTATATTAGTGACACAAGTTTCCTTGTCTTTCCCCTGACTGCTTATTTTTAGTGAGAACAGCTTTTCCTTCCAAAGTGCCCTCACTGGAACCAGTTGTGGAATAGTTTAGAGTGGTCAGTGGTTAGAGAGGCCCCTTCTCTCTGACTTGTCCTCACAGACACCACCTTGCTGCTCCTTGTTCTTGTGTAAATGTATTTCCCTCCTTGCTTTGCTTCTTTTACTGAAGGTACACAGAGGCAAAGAAACACAGAAAGGCTGTAAAGATGTGAATTTCAAATTCATCCCACAGAAGCAGAATATTAAATGTGTTTTTTTAATCCGACTAAACAAAACAAAAACCTTAAAAATAGTACTTTTAGGAATCAAAATGAATAATTGACTCATCAGAGGTGACTTTCAGTCATTTAATTTGTCTTTCTCCTGGTGCCCTCGAGTGGGTGAGATGTAGCCTGTGTGTCTTGTCTAGGCAATGGTTGTGGGAGGGTTCCTTGTGCCAGGATGTGCTTTTCCAATGGATGCTGGGCTTGTTTCCCTGTTCTTCCAACTTGGCTCTATTGATTTAATGGCAGAAACTTTAATCTGCCCTTAATGGGAAAAAAAAAACCAAAAAAAACCCAAAAAAACAAACACAACAACCCAGTGTAAGGAAAAGCACGAAACGAGTGATGCTTTTTAGCGACCCTGGTATTATTTAGCTGAGCTAATCCCGAATGTAATGCCGTGGGTTTAACTGGAATTACACTGGGGATTAGTTCAGTTGATAGCTGATTGCACTCTAATAGCTGCCTGGCTCCAGGAGTTGGTTGAGTAGGTGCTGCTTGCCTCCTTCCAGCCCCCTTCCTTCACTTCCACCTTTCCCCTGCTCCCACGGTGGGGCCTTGTTCTTCCTCCAGCAGGACCTTTACTGCTGGAATGAAGGACAGAGGTGGAACAGGAGTGTTTTTGTGGAGAGGGACACGCATGGCTGTGTGCTGAACAGGTACAAGGAGCAGCCCAGAGTAGGTTCAGCATGTTGGACCCGTCTGATAGGTATCTAAGAGCACTTGCTGTTCTGGGCTTGATGAGAAGTGAGTTATCTCCTCCTAGAGGAGAGGCAGCACAGTGTGCACAGCCATCCTGATAGCCCTGGGCTGGATCCATGGATGGATAGGCATGGATCAGGAGACAGTGGTCACAGGACTCGTGCCATGCTGGAGCGGGCTGTGCATCCCCAGGTGCAGAGTTACACACCCACGGGGATCATTTCTTCCTGCCGCTGGCTCCCGTGCCATCCCAAGGATGTGCCCCCACCAGCACGTCGCCTGTCCTCTGGTTCAGCAGCATCCTGGGATTTGAGCTTTTCCGGTGGTGGAAAATAGCGGATTTGGGGCAAAGCTGCTGGGCGTGGTGCTTCTGCTTCCCCTCACCTGGCTGAGCTTTGTGTGCCAGTAGACTCCTCTGCGTTACTTTTCAACTTTCTTCGGCATTTTGGCCAAACACTCGGGGGCCATCCTCCACCACTGCTTGGTTTTAGACATTGTCATCATCTTTAGACATCATCATTTAGACATTATCATCATCATCATCTTCCAGAGGTGACTTCCCGAGTCGCTTCGTGCAGGCTCTTGTTCCTCCTCTCCCTCCTGGAGCCCGGGCCGGTCGGAGCTGATTTTTTTAGGGCAGCGCCGGGAGGGTTCGGCGGGCCGGGAGGGTTCAGCGCGTCGTGCCTCGCCCGTGGCGGGTGGGTGACCCGTCCCCCCCCGGTGCCGGAGCGCCCTTCCCGCTGCCCCGGGAGGGGGAGGCCGGGCCGGAGGAGGCGGTGGCGGCGGCGGGGGCGGGCGCAGGGCGAGAGGGGCCGGCCCAGGGCCGCGCTACGTGTCGCGGAGCCCTTATAGCCCCGGCCCGCCCGGCTCTCCGCGCCCGCCCGCACCATGTCGAGCCCAGAGCACACGGTAGGGACGCGGCCGGGGAGGGGAAGAGGGTCCCTGCAGAGCCCCTCTCCGTCCCGGAGCTCCCGGAGGGACGCGGGATCCCCGTGGGGCATCCGGCGCGGGGAGGGGATGGCAGAGCATCACCCCCAGGGGTTGGGGAGGATGGCAGGGCGCTCTGGGCAGCGGGGCAGGGGCGTGCCCGGCCGTGCCGCGCATCCCTCCGCCGGTGTTCCCGCACCTGCCCCGCTGTGCCCGAGCTGCCCGCTGCCATCCCCGCTGCGGAGCTCGAAGGTCGGGGCAGAAGCGAAGGCTTGAGCCTCGCTCGTTTCGTTGGGTGGCTTTTTCGGGCGCCCTGTGCCCCGGTCCCACCCAGGGGAAGGAGCCCGGCGAGAGCCACTCGCCGCCACCACCGATGGGCTCCCAGCGCCCATTTATTTATTTTAAAAATAAATATAACGAGCGCGGAGCGATGAAAAATGAGCACAGCCAGAGCAGGGTTCAGTTAGAAATTAAAATTGCCAATCGCAGTCGCAGCCAGAAGCCGCTTTCCGCTTGCCAGCTGCCCTCTCGTACTTGTTGGATTTGGGATGGGAGCCCCGGGTCCCTCCGGCTGCGCCGTACATTTTCCAGGTTTTAAATCAGAACCAGAAGAAATCTTGACGTTAAGTCTTTCAGGCTGCTGTTGCCGGTTGATTTTTCTTTCTTTCTTTCTTTCTTTTTTTTTTTTTTTTAACTTCATCCTACTTTTTTCAGATGCACTTTGAGCACCCTGGTGAGGTGTGCGGGGTGCAGGAATGCAACCAAAAACCACGCGGAACAAAGCGCGCCTGTGCAGCCGGGGTGTTCTTGGGAACGCGAAAACCTGTGGTTTAGGGATTATTTCAGGGAGGGGAGGTGCAAGCCCTGAGCTGCGCACGGGAGTTCTGTTTATTGCTCTGTGACAGGAGGGAGGCATTACTGAACTTCCAGAATAATCCCTCTCCTTTGCCTCCACCCTGGGCTGGAAAAATGACCTTTATGAGCAAGTTCGTGGCCGACCTTTGCACGGTGACTGTCAGAACAGATGCTATCCGGGTGAGCGTTGTGGGTGGATTTTCGTGTGCTTATCTGCCAGGTGTCCGATGGACTGAGAAAAGGCGAGATTTCACTAATTACCGGAGCTTTTGGGAAGGGTGATGAAATGGTGATGTCCCATTAGCGATCTTCCTGTCAGTCCCGGGCAGGGGGAAGTTCTCTTTCCTCACTCAACCTCAGCGGTTTCTCGGTTTCAACCATCTCCAGCTGATAGCAAAGGCACGGGATGAGGGATTTCCCTTCGATAGGGATCCTTTGATCAGCACGATTATTTACGTGCGCACGATTTCTCCTGACACCTTTTTGTAGCTGCAGCCAAGGCAGTTCCATCAGAAAAAGAAGATGGGGCATGCAATAATTTATCCTATTAAGATGGGTGCAGAACTAGGGACTGCCCCCTCCTTAATCCCCATCTTCATTCCCCCAGTTACAAGAATCCCTATTACTCCCAAAAATCCTCGTTGCTAATAAAATCTCAGTTTTACCACGTTTTCATGACGTGGGTGGTGTGTTCAATCTTTCTCCCACAGACCAGGTTTTGTGAGGCTGGATGTTAGCAGCATTTTTTCCCCGGGTGAGAGCGTGTCAGAGCTGGGATTTGCAGGTGATGTTGATCAGCTGTCAGCTTTTGAGAGGCATAGCAGTGCCACCTGTGGCAAGATGGACAGCTCTGTTATTTGGCTGTGCTCCCACTTTTGGAAATTGAATAATTAGAAGCCCAGCATCTAAATCCAAAATTCAGCCTGAATGCCCTCTGGAGTTTGAGGATGGCTTGATTTGCATTTATTAACAGAAGCTTCTGGTAGGGTGTGGAGAAGAAAACTTAATGGGTTTTTTTTGCTTCTGCACGTGTTGTCCTTAAAAATGAACGTGGCTCCTTAATTCTGCCTTGTCTGGGGACCCAAAACTTGGTGTGCAGGAATCTCTCTGGCCGGTTGGAGTGGAAACGCTCTCTGCTCTCTTTGTTTCTGCTCATGAAGTCCTCCGTGTGCCAGCCAGGCAGTGCCCTCCCGTTCCCAGACCTCACTGACAGAAAACACTTATTACTGACCTGTTTCGGGACCGACTTTCGGGGGAGAAGAACGTTCTTTGACGGTGACCTTAAAGACTTCGCGTTCCTCACACAGCCCTCCTGTGTGCTCGGCAGCAAAATCAGGAGCGAAGGAGCTGCAGCGAGCAAGGTGGAGCTGTGGGACTGCCCTTGTTTATTGTGTGGGCTCCTGCACAGCGTGGCATTCAGGGCTGAGGGGTTCTTTTAGCTCTGTCCAAACAGCAGCCTGTTCTCCCTCCACCTGCGGCGTCCCTGGTATTTCCGCAGCTCGTCCCGTCTCCCCGCCGGGCGGCGTTTCCAGGAGGACACAGATGGTGCAGTGTGCTCCAGGCAGCTTTGCCACGGAGCCCAAAGCCACAGGCACGGCCTGGGAAGGGCTGGCCCCACGCTGGGGTGACTGCCTGCGTGGCTTTGTGTCCCCGTGGGCGCGTGGAAAGTGCAGCCCGATGCGTCTCGTGGGCTGGAGGCGTTGGCAGTCCTGCCCCTGGCAGGGGAACATCCCGAGTTTCTCTTATTTCTTAGGGCAGAAGGAGAGCCTGGCCCTGAAACTGCCCTTTTCAGGGTGAGCGTCCCAGCTTTGTCACCCCCCTGCTCTGGTCACCAGGAATCCAGCTGGAGCGGCGTGTGGCATCCCTGGCTTTCACCAGGGAGCTGCTGCTGGAGCCTGCTGGGTCACAAAGCTGTAATTTCGGCTGGTTCACTTCTGTTTGTGTACGCGCAAATGATGTGGGCTTATTGAAATTTATTTAAAGAGAAGGGAAAAAAACCCACAAGCTCAGATGACAGCCCTGAAGAAAGAGGCTTAGTTTCTTTGCCTAAAAAAAAACACCTCTACTCTCGTGTTGAAAAAACTGGAGCCACGGGGCAGAGTTCAGATGGACTGATATCCCAGAGCAGTAGCATATGTACAGCTTCGTGGATGCAATTGCTAAGCAATATAGAAGAAAAAGCTTATTAAAAAACCCAGACCGTCCATTTATCTCCTCTCACGCTTCCTCTTAACTATTGCCTTGAACACAAAGAGGAAAACACTTTTAAAGGTGTTTATTTTCCAAGCAGTTAAGAATAGCTCAAGTATTCACTGCCACTTGTCCAGGTGACAGTGCACCCTGATTTCAGGGAATTAGTGTGGGTTGAATTACTCAAGGAAGCGTTTCTCCTCTTTTGTCCGGCCAGTCACAAGCCTCGTTCTTACAGCATGATTTATTTTGTGAAATACAGTGCCCAACTCGTTGCACCACGACAGTCAAAGGGGATTGTTTTCCTGCTGCTCATCACGTGCTTGGGATTTCTTGGTTTATATTCCATTACTTTGGTTTGCTTTATATCTCTTTTCTTCGGAGATCACTGAGAGGCGAGGTGATTAACTTTTGTTAACTGTAGCTCTCTCCACTTTCCTCCCCGTTTCTTTTGAAGCCCCTTGCTATTAACAAGTCCCCTTTCCTGTCTGTTGCCCACACTTTGCTGTTTCATTCGCTTGGGCTGCCCCAAGACCCTGTTTAGTAACAGCATTCTGCTCTGTTGGGGAATTTGAGGGAAGAAAAGCCAGGAAAAGCTGCAGGCTTCTGAATATGAATGCCTTTTTTCTTTCCATGGCTGAGCCCTGCAGGGGTTGGGGACTTAAAGAACCACCTTGGTGGGGACCTTGGTGGACCTTCCCCAAGCGCAGGAGGGCAGGGGTTTCCATCCATGCCCTCCCTGGACAACCCCTACAAGAGCTTTGAGGTGAGATAAATGATGTTGAAGACCCCACACTACCCGGACCATGTGCACTGCAGCTGCAGCTTAGATTTAGGCCACGGGGATTTTGTTTTTCTGGAGGGTTTTCAAGAGAAACACTGGCATACTTGCCTTTTTTTGTTTGTTTGTTTGTTTTTCTTTCTTTCATTATTTTTCCTGGGCTGATGTTGCTCCTGGAGGGTGTCTCGAAATAGAAATGAAAAGACCTTGCCTATCTGAAACCAGGTGTTTTAGATAAACTTCCAGCTGTATGTGGCCCCCCCCCCCCCCCAAACAAAGATAAGTGGCGTGCAGGGCCTGTGTTAATGCTGGTCACGATATGCCCTGCCTTGAGCTTGCACTTTGGTCACGCTGCCCGTGCACTTTGGTATCTTAAAAAGCCCATTAAGAGAGAGGCTGTGGGGTTCAGGTGCGCATTTACGAACTCACCATTATCGTGAGCAAGGGCTGACTAATGGTTATCATCTCTGACTGGGCTCTGAATCACAGCTGGGGCAAGTGAGAAGTAGTTCCTTAATGGTTTCGCGGCTTAATAATTTCCAGGGGCGAATTTACCCCCGAGTGGATCATTAACAGGAGGAGGGATGCGACGAGCCCGGCCGGAGGGTTCAGTGCCGGCCCCGCCCATCGCAAAATGGGATGTTGGGAAGTTGGGAATTGCCTGTGGGGCCGGTAGTTCCTTGCTGGCCCTGCCTCCCGTCCCTCACAGAGCGGTCCTTGCTCCTCTGCTTGGCTCGGATCCAACGATGCGTGTCAAAAGCTTTGTTTGCTGACCCGGCGCCAAAACGAGCTGGAGAAAGGGAGTTGGTTTACGTGGATTCGATTTGATTTGATTTTTTTTTAGATGCAGCACTGCGTGGTTTGTCGGGATGAGTTTTTTTTGGGGGGGCATTGCTGGAAAACAATCATCTCTACCTCCATTTCCAGGGCTTTCTGACCTCGAGGTCTTGGCGGCCTCTCTGGCAGGACAAAGTGTTTTCTTCGATATCGAAGCGTTTTTCAGCTTCCCCTTGGGGTGCAAAAAAGTGTGTTGGGTGGGAGGTCATTTTTCAGGCCTGCCCTGCCCTTCTGGTGGGAAGATCATTAGGCTGTGCTGCCAGAGAGTGTGGGAAGAGGGGGGAAAAAAACCCCCTTGTTTTCGAGGGGCTTTTTAGAG